TTTTTTTTTTTTGATCAATGCTTATCATTGCATCAATGTGCTCAGTTATTTATTATGAGATTATCGGCAATTATTTTCACGAGAAGAAACAAAGGATATTGGCTTTTGACAGCGTGAGGGAATATTCTCGTGCGCAACACGAAAGGCAAAGAGAAGTTGCCAAAACCATCGAAACACAATGAATACAAGAGGGATGGAAGGGGCCCCGACTACCTCGCGTCTGGTTACACCCTATCGAGGCGCCACTTGACTCGTATTTAACTTTCAAATATATTTTATGCCCTTTGCATTTTAATATTTTCACGGATTCCCTATTCCTAGACCCTTCTCTCAGTTCGCCTAACGCGCATGCATTCCCGTTCCAGTGAAATGTACGCGATTTCACTGTTAACCCTCACACGCACCTCACACTGTCAAACGCACACATCGAATCCCATTTTTAATTTTACACGTACCTTCGTTGTTTCTTTAGAAAATTTTTATTGCACGACTCCGATTTCCTAATTCATTCCGTAAATGTTAAATAACATAACGATATTATTTCTTCCTATCTCGCGACGACATACCGCATCTCACTTTTCACTTTCTCTATTCCCTCACAAATTCGTCTCCCTCGATCGAACTTTGGGATTGTGAAAAATTTACGAATGCAATCTTATACCAAGATCATAGATCCTTCGTTTCGGCCGTTGTGAAATTTCGTGAAAATTCGATCCCCTCGCGATAACAGAGTGGCAACGAGAGATGAGCGTGGGCGATTCAAGACGCAAGAAACTCATGGCTGAACGAGCTCGGCATTTATGTGTCCATCGAAGCGTGGCGACGCTTCGACGGGATTATTTGTAGGATTCAGTCGTATATCCGACGTTTCCGCCGAATCCTTTGTACCATTCGCCCGTTGCGCCATAGAATATTTTCCAGACGTATTTAAGCTTGTTTCGGACAGCCGGATATTCACCCCACTATTTTTACTCGATTCCATACCCTTCACTTTCACTCTTCCTCTTATTTTCTATCCTACATCATATTTCGTCTCTCGAAAGATTTAATTAAGAAATAAATCAGTCCGTTACAAAATTTATATCCCAAAATTATGTCCCAATTTGAATACAGATTTCAAAGTCATCAGATATTTTTTTTTTTTAATGATCTCACATCTTGTATCTAATTGTCAATTTTAGATAGAATTGTCCTCTGTCAAGAATATATCCAGTGTCGGCGATTCTTACTATATTCGTCGCTCGCACGCGGTCACTTTTACTTTACCTTTATATTAAATTAACGAAGTACGTTACATATCTGCGCGAGTGTCTGCTGGTTGTTAGCTAAAATAAGAAAGAGCAGCAGATCGAGAGGGACGACAACGAGAAAGATTATCTCGTACAAAGTATGTCTCTGTAACTCTCTGGCAGTCAAGGCTGTTCGACTTGTCCCTTGCATCTGAATGTGACTGCCGATCGCTTTGAAGTACACCGACGACACCGTATACATATCCTTCTCCCTGCCAGTGTAATAACTTGCGATGAGGAAAAAATTAATTAGCCGACCGAACCATCTGTGCTCCGTTTAAGTAAACGCGGAGATTAACGCGCTTCCGTTTCTTCGTTGATTTATTAACAAAGCGGAAGAGACGAACGATAGAGTTTTAATTGCGTAACTCTGTTTTAGCTTCCGTGAAGGGCCAAACAGTCGGAGTGGCTGCATCAGT